TATAAAGAAGTCTCAAACGAATATACCATTTAACTTTGCGAGAGTATAAAATGTTCGGTTACATCCGAACTTAGCCATTCCTTACTTGTTTGTATATATTTTCGATTTTATTGAAATTAATACAAGAAGATTGTTTTGTCACGTATTTGTTAATGAGTACAATTGAATTGTACCTGGTTTTATATATTCATTTTGGTTTTCGTTCAAGGTTAGTATTTCGACTTATATAATCAATGTAATTACTATTCATGAAGTGTACCTGATTTTATATATTATATATATATTTTTTTATACTCTCGCAACCTGTTGCTACAGAGTATAGTAGTTTTGTTCACCTAACGGTTGTTGGGTAACTAATCGAGTTAGATATAGGGTTATATATATATATATATAAATGATCAGGATGAAGAGACGAGTTGAAATCCAGGTGACTGTCCGTCCGTCCGTCTGTACAAGCTGTAACTTGAGTAAAAATTGAGATATCTTTATCATGTTTTCTGGTACGGTAACACTGTTTGTATTGCAGATGGGCGTAATCGGACCACTGCCACGCCCACAAAACGCCATTGATCAAAAACAAATAAATTGCTATAACTAAGCTCCACAACAAGATACAATACTCTTATTGGTATACAGGATCACATTAGGGAGGGGCATCCGTAGTTTCAATTTTTTTTAAAGTGGGTGTGGTCCCGCCCCTAACAGGTTTAATGTGTATATCTCCTATACCACTGCAGCTATAATACAATAACAAAATTCACTGGGAACAAATGTTTTTAGCATCTCTATCGACGGTATGAAAATGGGTAAAATCGGGTGACAACCCCGCCCCATATAGCGGTATAACTACTAAAAGCGCGATAAATCAAGCACTAAACACGGCAGAGACATTAAATTTTACCTCCGGGATGGTAAGAGGTGACTTGATAGGAATTGTGTTCAAAATTATACAGTGGGCGTGGCACCGCCCACTTTTAGGTGAAAGCCCATATCTTGGGATCTTTTTAACCGATTTCAACCTAATTTGATACATAACATTCTTATCATATTTCTATGTTATAGTGCGAAATCGGATTACAACCTTACCTATTTCCTATATAACCCCATTTTATATTCCATCTATTTCTTTCACTTTCCACTATGCAAAACAAGCAACAATGATTGTATCGGGGCAAAACTTTGCGTGAATAATGCGTTTAAAGTATGCCACTTTGAGTACCCCCTAGGTACTGAATATGTGGACCCCAGTGCCTACCGTTGACTTTTTACCGAAAATATCGGTGAGTGTATAATATATAGGTATATAATTGAAATACATATACTAAAATAAATCTATAATCAATACAAGGATCAATACTTCCTTTAATATAAAATTTTGCCAACACCTGAAGTAATTTCCCGAACTTAAAACTTCTTCTTCTTCTTACTTGTACTAGTTATATATGTTATGAAAAGTAGATTGATTTAGAACTGTTAATATTATACGGGTGATCTGGGGATCCAAATACTCAAAAAAGATCGGTAACACGACAATATTGCATGCTTAGAGAAGGTGAGGAAAAACAATAAATATGCAATAAAATTTTGTTTCGAAAATATTTTTGATAGTTTTCATTAACGTTTTCCACTACAAATACCTGTTTCCAAAAATATTCTTAAACTACATTCCTTTTATATACATCTCTGTGTCAAAAAAGGCATATTTCAATCAGGTGATCTCAGCTGTGGGGAAAACTTTAGTATACCGTCCCAGGCTTTCGGGGATAAAATGGGTATGGGCGGATAGAGGAGATCCTCCAGATCAAGAATATATATAGCCGCGGGAAACTTATAGTTTTCGAGATATTTACGTTTAAAGTTGAAAATTTCAACTATTTAAATAAAATACGCATTTTTTCGATTTCAAAAGAATTATACACTTATATTTTCCACTTTTATAACTTTATATATATTATATTATATATTTTTCGCGCAGAACTCCTTTTTGCGTTGTTTCCTGTATCTAGGGTGTAATCTCTCTATTTATTTTATTTTTCTTCAAATATATTAGTATGACAACACTGGTGTTTTGACATTTAGAACCATTTTGTTATTGTCAAAATTAATAAAATTGAAGAATGATTTAATTTGAAATAAAGCTATTTTTGTAGCATCTAATATAAAAAAAATTTCTAAAAACGAAATAGTCAAGTGTTAGTGGATATAAAAGTGAAAAATATAATTGTATAATTCATTTTAAAACGCAAAAATATGTACTTTAAATAGTTGAAATTTTCAATATATTCTTGATCTGGAGGATCTCCTCTATCCGCTTATACCAATTTTATCCCCGAAAGCCTGGGACGGTATACTAAAGCCGACCCCAGCTGTGTTACACACATAGGAAAACAGCTGATTCTTTTATTACTTGTAGGGTTATACAAAGAATTCACTACAAGTATATCACCGATTAGCCGTGCTGGTGGGTAACTATGTACATATATACCATACTTAAAAACACTCACATTGTAATATTTATGTATGTGAAACTTGAAATTCTCTTTTACACTGTGTACTATATTTTAGTTGGCTGCCATTTTATTTATTTTGTTATTGCTGCTCTGAATCATTTTTAATATGGCACTTATTTGATATGAATTATACACATAGTCATATTAATCCCTAGTCAGGTTTTTTATACTAATATTAAGTGACTCTTGAACTTGAATACATTTAACAACTTTGAAGTAATTATTGCCGCAGTTTTTAATCGATGTATTTCAAATTTGTTTTGACACTGTTTGATTGTTATCGCAAATGTTTTTAAAATACCTCACGTTCTCAACTTTGTATCGGATACACGGGTTGGTCAATGTATAAATCTACAAGTAACAAATCCTAAGATTTTCACTAATACACATGCAAAAATATACCACTTGGTACGGGTTGCCTCGAAAATTCAACTACTAAAATCACACTTGGTACGGGTTGCCAACCAATATTCTGCTACTAAAGTCACACTTTGTACGGGTTGCCAACCATATTCTAATACTAATACGTCCAAATGACAGAAATCTGCTATAGTGTGTTGCCGTGTCATGTTTTAAAATTTATAACTTTAAGAATGTTTTCATTCCATATTCAACATTTTTCGGTTGTTTTCATTCCTAAAGATTAAATTTGCATAGTATTATTATTTAAATTAGTATTTATTGTATTGAAATATTATTAAATGTTTCCAATTTTATCTTTTTTAACTCACATGTTCATGTTTTGGTGAGTGAAAATTCTCTGTCTGTTGAATATTTAAATTCTTAGTTACCGGTTTAGTCCTGAGGAACCGAACACCCAGAAAAGATCGGTAACGCGTCTATATTGCAACCTCAGAGGTGGTGAGGAAAAGCAATAAATATATAATAATCTTATGTTACGAAAATATTCTTGAAAGTTTTCATTATTATTTCCATTACAAATACATGTTCATAAACAAATTGTTAAACTACATCCTTTTATTTAAAACTCTGTCTCAAAAAAAGGCATATTCGATCAGGTGATCACGGCTGTTTCACACACATAGGAAAACAGCTGATTCTTTGGCTACTCGTAAGCTTATACAAAGGTTTGTATACACATGATTATTAGAAAGTATAACTGAAAAGCTAGAAGTGTGCAATGCCATGTATACAAATTACAGTGGCAACTCTGCTCAAATGAAAACAACTGATTTCTACGTTGTCACTACGCGCATAACTTTTGACAAATTTCGTTTGATACGGACGGCGAGTACGGAAGGGCGGCACTTCGGTCACTAACTGAAGCATAATTCCTGGATGAGCCGTAAGGTATAACTTAGCCATACATATTTACACCATTACACCATCCCGTATATCCGATACAAAGCTGTGAAGGTAAGGTATTTAAAAATCATTCACTATAACAATCAAACAGGGACAAAACAAATGTTAAATCATTTTATAATCCCTCAAGTAACCAAAGAATCAGCTGTTTTCCTATGTGTGTGAAACAGCCGTGATCACCTGATCGAATCTGCATTTTTTTGACACAGAGATGTAAATACAAGGAATGTATTGTAGTTTAACAACTTGTTTGTGAACATGTATTTGTAATGGAGAATATTAATGAAAACTTTCGTGAATATTTTCGAAACAAAAGATTATTATATATTTATTGCTTTTCCTCCCCTCCTCTGAGGTGTTCGGTTCCCCAGGAGACCTATATTCACCCATAAAATTTATACAGTTCTTAAACAATCTACTTTTCATAACAATTATAACTTGAAAAGATATATACATAAAATCAGTTACATGAATCAGGTTCATGAATATTAATTACATTAACAATATAAATTGAAATATTCAACTTGATTTGAACAAAAACGAAAATAAATATAAAAAATTAGGTACAATTCAGGAACAATAACAATAATCAAAACAATCTACTAAGCAATAAATAATATTTCCAAAATATTCTTAATCAACGTTACACAATAACATATTTGATAAAATTGGAATCATTTAATAATATTTCAATACAATAAATAATAATTTAAATATTACTATGTAAATTTAATCTTTAGGAATTAAAACAACTGAAAATATATTTGAATATGTAATAAAAACATTCTTAAAGTTATAAATTTTAAAACATGACACGGCAACACACTATAGCAGATTTGTGTCATTTGGACGTTTCAGCAGAGAACGTATATGATAGAGAAGGTTCAATTGCGGACCAGCGTGTGAATTGTCAAAACCTAACAAGATTTTAATAGTGGATTTCACCACTTTTGGCTCAGAAGGAGAAATTTTAACAGTGGAGAGTGAACAGAGCTGAGAATTCAATGAAAATTATTCTCAGAGACTTGCTTTGATATTACAGCTGCATGTTAGCCTTTTGGCTTATATTTTTATACGTTTATATGCAATCATATTTATTGATATGAATATCATTTTGCGAATTTTTATGAATGCATGCAAAACTGATAAGATCTTTTAAATTATGAAATTTCGAAATAATATTTAGTCAATTTGGGCATTTAATAATTTTTATACTCTCGCAACCTGTTGCTACAGAGTATAATAGTTTTGTTCACCTAACGGTTGTTTGTATCACCTAAAACTAATCGAGTTATATATAGGGT